CAGTTCATTACGTGGCGGGATACATGGGGGGAAGAGAGTGGGGAGAGAAAACAACCAAAAGAAAAGGAAATATTGTGGATACATATACGAGCACCAAAAGGCTCATAAAAAGTCTGAAGCTTTTTTTGGTGTGATGTTGTTACAACAACATTCCACCACCCATTACAACAGCTCCTACAACAGCCGTCAACAGGACGAGCGTTTCTCCACCAATCATATTCGAAGCTAGTCCACTAAGAGCTCCTGAGGACTGGGACTGGGTTGCAGCTGGAGCAGCAGTTCCGGTTCTGATGGGAGCGGTTGTCTCTGTCTTGCTTCGAGTTTGAGGATCTGCAGTGGCAGTTTGGAGATCAGCTGGTGAGGGACCACCATTGTACTGAGCTCGGATGATGTCTGCTGCCTGTTCAGCAAGACCATAGGTAGGAGCCATCAAGTGAGCGGCAAATTGAATTGGGTAGATGGAAGAATCGGTTACTCGGACGTTGGCTAAATTAGAAGAGAATGAAGTGAGCAAAGATACAACAAGATGCAAGTCATTAGTTGCTTCACTCACATAATCCAAAGACCTTCAAGTTAGGATCTACAACACCTCCTTGATCGAGAGGCAACATGGCACAAGTACACGAAGGATGATACTCAGTTCCGACCTTGGTTCTCAACCAAGCCTCCCAATCGGCATCAGTCTGAACAGATGGTCCAGGAGCGACTTCCTCGGTAGCAGATTTGGACAAAGGTTCAGTTTGACCGAGCTTTCGTGCAAGTTTAAGACCTTCTCTCATCATGTGCAAATCTAACCGATAATATGGATGTAAGCGCCGCGGGTTCTGTTAGGATAACACCACTCGAAGGCTCACCAGCAGGATGGTTAAGATAACCTGGATCAATGGCAGGATAATCGAATGGATTGTTGTTCCTAATATAGAGCCTTCCCTGACTGAAAGGATGCTGAAGAGCAGCTTGAATAGCGAAACTCTGTGCACCACCTTCAACGGTACCAGTCAACGAGAACAACAATTCCACTTGACCGATCTGAGTCATCAACATGTCGGAATTGGCCTTGTAGATGGCATCATATCCAGCTTTGACTGTAGGATAATTTACACCAGGGTTCATGACGGGGTCGTTGGAGTAGGCTGTCAAGTTGGCCGTGATTTGTTGGTGAAGTGTGGGAGCCCAGTCACCAAGAAGATCTGTGATATTGGTGTAGGCGATGGCAGAGTTGATGAATGATTGCACGGCACTCGAACCCTAGAAGCAGCAAGCCTTCAGTTTCACAGAATGATGAGAGTACGAAAAGCTTACCGAAGTCATTCCACCAGAGTTGTGAATTGTAGCAGCAGTTTCGGCATTAGTCTTGAAGACTACTTGAGTGCTCTGGTCAAAGGAGCAGTAAGTTTCCACATATACCCGCCATGCATGCAGAATATGATTTGACTTACAAGGTGATCCTGCATGTGTTGACCAACACCAGGTAGATCTACGACGACGGGTACACCAGCCTTCTCCAAGACATCTCTAGGACCAACACCAGATTGCATGAGGATATTGGGGCTTCCAATAGCACCTCCATTGAGCAACACCTCCTTATTCACACCAACTGTTCGACGTTGAGCAAATCCATCTTGAGCGAATTCTACTCGAGTGGCGCGTCCATTTTCGGTAAAGAACTTGGTAACGGTGTTGTTGAAGAGAATGTGGAGGTTGGGACGAGGTGGGAGAGGATCAATGTATGCGGATCTCGAGTAGGAACGGGTGTAATTGGTTGGGTTGATGGAAGAAGCCGCGATGAATGCACCCCAACCACTACCTGAACTAAATGTGAGCCTCCCCATTCATATAGTAAAAAGAGGATGTACTCACCTCCATTGGCGTCGGGCGAGACGGGAACACCAATCATGGAAAGTGTTTGTGTCCAATCACCAACAATCGGCAAAATGTACCCAGGATACGAATAATGGAGTGGGCCTGATGTTCCATGCGAAGATTCGTCGTAAAGAATATTACCCGCAGCTTGTACTTCGGGGGTAGGCGGGGTGAACTTCTCCGACTAAAAGAGGTTAAAACGAAGTCAGCCCAAAGTGTCTAGCGCGTTGCCATGGGTCCGGAGCCGAGAAAAATGACAGTACCTTTTTCATGGCTTTGAAGAGAGAGTCCCAGGACCATGCGGTGGCTCCAGGCTGGCCATTCTGCATGTGTGACCAGGTGTCGACTTCTAGAGCACTTGGTCTGACCATGTACATCCCGTTGACAGCTGTTGAACCACCGATGCCTTTTCCTCGAGGCCACGGAATATTACGGTTTCCTAGTTGAACTTGAGGCTCCGTAATGTACTGCCAGTCGTATTTTGTGTATAAAAGACCATTGAAGTATGCTTCGCTGGGAATATCAATGCGTGAACGGACGTCGTCACCGGCTTCACCAGCCTCGATGACGAGAACAGTGGTGTTGGCATCTTCAGTCAACCGAGCTGCGATAACAAGACCAGCAAGACCTCCACCTAAAGAGCAGAATGTCAGTGGTTTTACAAGTATCGAGAGCGCTGATTTGACGTACCAGCGATAACAAAGTCGTAGGAGGCTATTGTAGTCCAAATTTGAAGACGTCAACAGTGATCCCTAGGCTATTCTTAGCTACTATCCACTCACGCTGTACCTGATCTACTGGAATGTACTCTCTCCTATCGAAATGCGATGCTGATACTGAAGAGAGCAAAAGCGCAGCGGAAAGAGAAGTCTTCCGCATGATCTCGAATGCTTTGAAGGGGGGATTACTAGTAACTGTGAGTTATCGAAGAAAGAGTAAAGCAAAAGACAATAAAAGAATGAACGTCGATGAACAGGTGGAAGATGCAAGGAATAAAACGAATGTGGGTGGAGGAGAAAAAGGATTTTGTACAAGGTAAACAAATCTCGCTTGTGTCTCTTGGCTCACTCACGCCTCACACAGTTGGTCTCGGCAAAAATCATTGCCGAGTTTCTATTCCATTCCCATCCAATCACAGTTGCTTCCTCTTTCGCCTACTTTTGGACCGATTTGTTCCGTTCAAGCCATGGGCTAAAGGCTGTGTTGTTTGAACAATAATGTGAGGACTCCATGATGCTCATACAACACGTTTCACAGCGGTCAGCTCGTCATCTTATCTTGCTATCTTTGGTTCCCAGACATGCTGAATCTGGATACAATCATCATTGCGCTCTCTGCGTGTTGTTCCATGACGTTATCGTGTGTCATTGGATCGTAGCAGCTACAACGATGTCATCAAATCTCGGAGCTTGATGGAGGATTTGAAATTGTCTTGGACATAAGGATAATCCCCCAGAATACGGCATCCGAATGTCTTGTTTCTTGGCAGAAGCAACGAAAATTGGCTACGCATTTCGTTAAGGGAATGCCCTAAATGGGGTGCGGTTAGCCTCGGTTGACATATTTCTCATGACCTGAATACCACCTGGGCTTCGCTCAGGGCTCGGTGGGTGGGCGTTGAGTGGCTATGCGGAGGAGGTCGTATTAACTTGATTATTCGAATATGACCCACTGCTAGTCACATTTCGAAGGTCCGATGGTGTAGTTGGTTATCACTTCTGTCTAACAGCTTAAACAGCTTGATCACAGGCGGTCGTCAGTTCGAACCTGGCTCGGATCATCTTTTACATCGTCATGCAAGGTTGGGATCTGTGAATGGATCTTCATTTTTTAGCTCAAGTTCATACCAAACTCCATTGTCAATCTATCAAGTCCAAGAACAGTACATGAAAGGTTTGAGGTTTCATTTCTATTGGGACGAGTTCAAACCAATATAATCAACCATTACCAAGTGCGTTTCCCCATCAAGAATATCGCACATCTTGAACCTTCGACGATCCCAATTGTACCTGATATAGTGATTGTCCCAATGCCGAGCACCACCGACGTTCAGAGTCCACCTTCCATCCACTTCTAGTTCCATCTCACCGCGCATGTAACGAAGGATATCATCTATCGACCTAGTCTTGAATGATATCCATGTAGGCATCTCAAACATCTGATCCGTAGCGGTCCTTTGTACAAAGTGGCCGTCGACGTAAATAATAATATTCCCGTTTTCAACCTCCTCGGCGAATGGAATGGGTGTGCCGTTAATCTGATGAGTGTCTCTCCAGACAGATGCTTCGTGACCATAATACAGATTTTCCCATTGATGAGTTGTGCTATCAGACCACATGTTGGTCCATCCAGGAGGAAGCTCGAGTTTGACAATGTCAGGCCATGATTCGACGACTGTTGGATCCAGTCCTATTTCCAAAAGTGGTGGAGCCCCAGGCGGATAACCAGGCGGAGGAGGAAGTGGATCCTGATCAAAAAAGTCTGTCAATTAAGTGCGTGATGTGTAGTCTATGAAGGGTCATACTTCTGGTTCTACCATTCTGTAGACAATTATCCACTCATCTGCGCAAAAAGACTGCTCCTGATATTAAGCCATCTTACACGAATGGCCAATAATATCTTACTCACATCGTCGTACGGAAATATTGGTTCGATTTCATCGACTCGAGGACTTATTTGATCTGAACACTAAACAAAATGTCAGTTCTGTCCTCATAATTTCTAGCCAATGATCGTACCCTGAGGCCACCCCACCAGTAAGCAGGTGGTACAAGTTCTTTATTCTTAACTTGTGACTCTGGGTTCAAACTTAGTTATCAAATCTTAAAGCATTCCGTAAGAAACTCACCGTCGTTGCCCGAAGCAGTAAAGTCGAGCATGAAAAGAGCTCCAGAAGCCATAAAAAGCACGATAATTCCACTATTCGGGTCGAATATCATAGACCGTGGCAGATCAGGTACATCTCTACGAGGCAGACTCCACAATACAGTAGGCATAGTGTAAGGCATTTTGTTGGCAAATTTATAGAACGAGCCACATAGGGTGTGTTCATCATAGTCGTCCTTGCGTCCTTGAGTCCATACGTGGTGATAGCCAGATTCTGAGCTGGAGAATGCACTCAAGAACCCACGACTACCGTCTCGATCCACCTTGATACGTTCGAGTTCGCAAGGGTACCAATCAAGTTTGATCCCAAGACCGTTCTTCCGAGAATCGACATCCTTCTCAGAGACACCTCTCTTTAACAGGCACCACTTTTCAATATACGAGGGAAGCGCTCTGAACACTAGAAGAGTGGCGCAGAGTTCTTCCCCTTCGAGTAGCACGATGTCGTAATTGGGGCAGTTGAGAAATTGATAGTTCCAAACGCTGCGCAGTGTGTTCGAAAATGGATAGAGCAAGTGTTGCAGCGGTGAGACTGCCAATTTCTTCTGATGAGCTAGTGCAAGTAGTTCTGAAGTAGCATATACTTCGATTCCTTGATGTCTTGCAACAAGAATAAAGACGGAGTCGAAATAAACAGAAAGACACTTGCGAAGCTATTAATACCGTTAGCCTCGACGTTGAACGCATAAATATCAGAGATTCATCCTACCTTCCAGCTGTCCGGGTGACGTCTCAGATTTGCTGTATTGCCAGTAAGAAAATCCACTATACACGGCTCCGTCATTTCCTCGGGACTACTTCCAAATGCAAGCCAAGTTCCTTGTCCAGCTAGCAGAGAGCGGGGTCCGTTCAGAGAAGCTATTTCCGTAATGGTAGGGACCGAGTCGTCAACCTTTGTCGGGTACGTCACTTCAAGCACATGCGTGTGGTCGTCTCTGCAAGGCGGTGTAAGTGGTGATCGAGATAAAAGGGATGTGACATGATGTCCTTACTGTGTTCCGATCACTACTCTGTCAACTGCAGACATATCCGTATGTAAAACAAATCCATTCTCCACCAGTCCGCGGGTGGCACGCCACTCAACCAACGCATGCCGAGACATCCTCTGCGAGTCCCATATTGTAACCGTCTTATCCGTCGACGCGATAAGGATCCATCTCGAACGAAGCATGGTCATCCACACAACAGATCCGGCACTGTGTCGAACTTCTGTAACATGAGGCCTAGAAGGATGATTTGAGCAAGTGAAGGCTTGAAACCTCAGTGTCTTTATCGCGAGGTTTTCTAGTTCATGGTCCGAAACATCGTGAAGTCGAGCTGCCCAAGCTGGCCAAGAAATATTTGGTTGAATGATATCGCGGGTTATTACCTTGATCCATACTGCTCGTAACCGCGTGATATTGTTTAACGTCTTGGATACCTGGAGGATGAATGAGAGCATTAGTGCGGAACGCGAGACTGTGGTTGGCAAGTACGGACGCGTCGTAATGTACAAATGTCTCGCAGCTCCAGATGCCCAATTATCTCAATGAAGATGTCGTCATTCAAGTGGGTAAGAGGCATTGCGCCAGGAACAGTGGTGGGGTAGAACCAAGTTGTAAACATTGAGGCGTAATTTATGTACCCGTCCCACGAATCCAACCTCCACACCCTGTCTCTCGCCCTTTGTACCGCATATATCTATGGCTCTATCTCGTTATGGGCAACCTTTCAGCTAGCACAATGGAAGCTGTGCTCTCTACAATGATTTTCATATTGTCATAGGGATTGTTTCTCATATGGAGGTATTAAAATTCGCTACACATTAGTCTATCGGACAATCCGATTCGATATACCATAGGAATTGAAGATGATAAAGAATTAACCAAAAAAGGGCATGAAAGCTCATACAATTATCCATTCGCATAAACCTAGCCTATGTAGGAACCCGTCTGTAGAAAAGAATATACGCGGGTCGACCCTAACAAGGAAAAACCATCAGGACGCTATTCTCATACCCCAAAGATGTAGGATACTAACCACAACGTTCTGCGGAGGTGCTCCTGATATCCTACTATCGTCGCAGTATGCCCACTGACCCATCGTCGAGATGAATGAGGTGTCTAGTGTAAAGTGTTAGTATCCCACCGCAAAAAAATATTTTGGAGTAAGACTAACAATGCCCGCTTGTCAATGTGCCATAATGATTCGTAACCGCATACAAGTCATACTTGTACGGCGGCAACTGCGTCCTAGGATCATCCAATCGAGATGAACCACCACCATTAGTAGGAAGAACCAAAGATTTGTCCGCTCCGGGAGGCAAGGGAGGGGGCATATACTCTGTAAGATCCAGACCCTTCAAAGGGAAATCCACAGTCGTCTCTAGCTTGTCAGTGAATGGTCCCTTGAACGAGAACCTCTTCAAGTGAATCAAAAGGACTGGTGGGAGTCGGGAGAGTGTGAGCTCCTTGGTGGCCTTTCGGAGCTCTTTGCATTTAGGACAGTGCCTTTTTTGGTCATGTCAGCCCAGAAACAAGGCCCTTATTAGTCAAATCTTTCTGGCTTACCATGCATCAGATGCTTCAAGAACCTCTTTCTTTACAAAAGCGTCAAGACAATCGTGGAGTGTCAATCGCGTAACACCTCGTCTCGTCGGTATCGGCAATGAAATATACATGAACGGATTATACGTCGTCGAAGTCTATCACAAAGAAAAAGTCAATAAAGTATCATGAACACCATATCAAAAACTCACCGTATTGCAAGTCAAACACTGCAATCGACTCCTAAACTGTCCCTGGAAATAATCCACAATAATACTATCATCCCGAAGCTGATACAACCTCCATTCCTGAGCTCCAGCAACTTGAACAGGTAAACTCTCCAATTCCGCTTCTCTCTCAGGTGAAGCTTCCGGTGCAGGGATACGTTTCAAAGGTCTGTTCAAATCTTCATGAAGACCGTCCAATAAGAAACTCAGGAATTCCTGGGAATCGTGTTGATCTGAACCTCCAAATTGAGGAGCGTATTCGCATATAGAGCGCTAGGAATTGAATGAGTAACTGAGACCTTTTCGTTGATAGAGCAAAAGATTGGACATACTCGGAAAGGATACGGAGTCAAATAGGTTTGATCCCCCTGCCACATCTCATGAACAATCGTTGCAAAAGCTCTCGCAACTTTACCCATTTTACCCATCGGATTCGTCTGATTCACAGCACGAACCCATCGACCATCTAATTCAAAATGAACATGGTGAGATTCTTCCGAGGATGCATGAAGCAGCAGCAAAGAACTCACCAATAAAGAACCTCGCAAACGGAACCGTCGCACTCAAACACTGAATTATCGAATTCATATAACACGTATTTCCCAAATTCTTCAATCCAGTCAATCGAACCTGTTGCGCGCTCGTCCAATACTCGACGGGATAATAACTCTGAATCACGGGGGGCATATCGAACGTTTTCCCTCCGACGGTGATCCTCCTTCCTTGTTCGATCTGTTGTCCGCTTCCACCGCTGACTGTTATGGTTGTGCTAGCATTAAGGGCCCCATGTCTCGCTCTAGGATCCGCACGTTCTAGAGAAGTTGTGGCTGCCGGTTCAGGATACTTGACCAGATTTTGGGCGCTCAACGACGGATAATCGATCGCAGCTCGCATGGGAGAAGTCGTCGATCCCGTATACGCATGATGAGATTGTTCAGCATAATTACTCCGTATCCGCGATATGGGAGATGAACTATGCGATGCTTGGGTCACAGATGCAACAGGCGGAGGTGGCTGAGGCAAACTGGCAGGGGGTATCGGCAAGGGTCTTGTCGGCGTAGGCGCCGGAACAGGTGAAGTGACGGATGAAGTTGGAGGAGAGGCAATGGGATAGCTAATGGATGATATCCCAGAAGAGTACA